ACCCTGTTGGCCTGGTTTCTGCCAAACCAGAATTTTATGGAGATGTTTCTGTAAGGCACACAAAAAAGTCTGTTGCTAAAAGCTGCATGGGCTCCCCAGCAGTTTACTGATTGCCTCTCAGAGTGGAAAATGAATTCTTTTTCTACATCTGCTTAATGGCTATAATCTCAACATTGCCACAGTATAAATCAGAGGAAAAGAGTCAGACTATTTTGCAATAAGAAAAACTACTCAATAATTCTGTGGTACATTGAGCTATATGATTTCTTTAATCCATCTAGAAGAACTTGATTGTGCCTTGTCCTGTGGTGTTAGATGAGGACTGGAAATTACAGTTTGCCTTCTTTTCTCACTCAGTGTTGCTATACAGGAATCGCTCCAAACTTGGATCTTGTTATTCAGTCATGAAACTAAATATTCATTGTTAGTTCTTTTCTTTTTTTTTTTCCATCTGTGCTTCTGCCAGTTACCTTCAGGCCTAATATTTGCATAAATTATTCAGTTATAGGAGGAATGAAAAAAGCCAAAAAACTGTTGAGATTTGTCTGTAGGGATCTCTCCAGCACAAATATCACCAAAGTTCCTGCACTATGTGGCCAGTTCAGGAGGTGCAGGCAGGTCCCAGCATGGCACCTCACAGGTGGACACTGACCAACTTTTTGGGTGCCTTCAGCTATGCTCAGGTCTTGCCTGATAAATACAGGTGATAGATTCAGACAATCTAAATTCTACCCTTGGCCTTCAATGTCTTAAAAGGAAGGTTAATGAGGAAATTAATAGAAAGAAATTCTATTGCAATGGGTCCACATGACCCATGATGTGCCACAAGGCAGATGCTGGATTAGTAAGTAGGAGATGGAACTTTGTAAAAATTTGATGCAATTTGCTTTAAATAAATTTCTAATACTTTTTTTCTTCTTTTTTCCCTTGGCCTCAAGCACCGTGTGCTATAAAGGTTTCAGAATACCAAAGCTAGCTACTCTCAAGGGAAGCTCTTCTTCTGAGGCTTGCATTGTCCATGTTCACATGGTGTATTTCTGAAAAAAAAGAGAAAGATTGCTGCTTTTGTTTTGATTTGGCTACTTCAATGACCCTCATCCCTGCTTCAGAGCTGAGATTTTGCTGGCAGGAAATGGTCATTGATATGGGTCTGCAGACTGTCTTATTTTCGTGTGGTTTTGGCAGTTGTTGGGGCACCCTGACAGCCCCGTTTTAGAGTCTCTTGAAAATTAGTATTTTTTAAAATTACAGAATTGTCTTACATTTTTTGTAGTATTGAATTTGTGTGGGGATGTCTATGTACATGCAATTTAATTCTGATTAAGGACAAGTATATTTAAAAGGAAAATAATTCTTTTTGAATAGCCTCTTATCAGGACATAATAAATCTGGCTTTTTTTCCTGTTTTAGGGTCATCCACTTGCAAAGTAAACAGGCTTATGTCGTCCAAATAGGTTGGAATGCAGGCAGAACCTGCAGCTTGAGAGAAGCTTCTCTCAGCCACTGGTGTGATAAAGGAGCACCTAAGGACTGCAGGCTGGTTTCTTTGAACACGAGGGAAATTAACAGCTCCTGCTTGGTCAGGGGATTTCATTAGCACAGGGCTGCTCTGTTCTCATGTCCCACAGAGATATCACTGGCATTATTCCTCTGAACTTGAGATCAGTATCTACCTCCCTACCAGGAGTAGAGGGAGAGAGAGATCTGGGGTGGTTTAAACGAGATGCAAGGAGTGCCAGAGGGGACCTCTCTGGGCATTGCAAAGCTGGTGGGTCTCCACTGCCTCCTGCCTGGGGGGCTGTGAGGCTCCAGCTGCACTGAGCTCAACCTCTCACACAAAATAAACCAGTACCTGCTGAAAACCAGGCTGAGCTGAGGTCTGCTTTCATGCTGAGTTTCATCATGGAAGTGGTGTTTCAACACTGAAAGTTGGGTGTACTGCAAACTCCATAGGAAGCTGGAGTCCTAGAGGGAACAGGGCACTAATAAACTGCCTTTCACTGGAGTTGTCCCTGGATACACACAGAACCTATATTTGGTCTTGACCACTTTTGTTGAAATAAATGCTAACTATGTCTCATTTAAATGGAGATTCATTTTACACTAAGACATCTGACTTGATGGAAATTGTACATATTTTCAAAATTAATAACAATTAAGAATTAATTGAGGAGTTTCATTTCTTCCTGCCCCACTCCCCTCCCCGATGTATTTCAGTTTTTCTGTTTGGATTTCCCATTTTGACTGAAGTGAGTGGATAGACTGAGTTGTGCCATGCAGTGTTGTGTCTATACAAAACCATGTTATGTGGAAGGTGTATCTCTTGCAAATAAAACAGATAATGACCACTTATCTGTGTGTCTGCAGCCCTCATTTCTCCCTCCGTGTCTGCTTTCTTACGTCCTTGGGGCTAGCTGCTACAAGCAGGTCTGTTTTAAACTTCTCTGTAATATAGGATTACACAGAATGCATATTTACAGTGGAGCCTTTAAGTGGCCACTAGGACCAAAAAATTGTCCTTTTCTTTGTAGTCACCATGGAGAGATAGGACTGGACATCTTCTTTCATCTGCTAAATTGGGTCCTCTGCTAAGAACCACTTTATCACAGTGATACCTGTTATTGCTTTCCTCTTCTGACTTTCCATTTTCACTTCACATCATTGCCCCTTCCCCAGTCCTGACTTCTTTTTCTCCTTTTCTTTCATTAATTTTCTTCTAAGTGAATTTCACATTAAAATGTCACTTCTTATTCAATAGGTGGTGCAGTAATGGAAATAAGTGACAGCACCTGTATGCAGCATGTGAAATCCAAATGTCAGGTAGCAATGTGGTGAGAGGCCAGGAAGCAAGGGAGGCGTGGGGAGGCAGAAGAGGAAGAGAAGGTACTCTGTAGCCCCACATTTCTCCTCACAGAGAAAAGCAAGGCACAATTCTTCCCAAGAGTATTTCTGGGTTCCACATTCTCTGAACATCAGAGAAAGAAAACACTGTTCTTATCTTATTTGCTGTGCCTGTGTTTGTGCAAATGTGGAATGCAGCGTGGAGATTGTTTACCCAAAGTGATGGTGTTTTGTTTCCTTGGCCTATCAGGGCCAAGTGTGTGTGTGTGTTGGGACTGTCAGGGGACAGGCACGAGACTCAGTGCAGTGTGTGCAGAGTGAGTGCTTGGCAGATTCAGTTTAGATGTAATGTAACATAGTGTTATATAATATAGAATAATATAATATAATAAAGTCATTAATTAGCCTTCTGATAGGATGGAGTCAGACACATCATATCTCTCCCCTTGTTGGGATTCCCTGCAAACACTATAGTATTCAGGCCCAAAAGAGTGCATTTTCTCTTGACCAGATTTGAACCTGTAGGCATTGTGTTTAGAGTTTATGATTAGAAGTATTTTTGGTGGAAGTTGCAGGGCTGCATATAGCTAAATTGAAGCCCCTTAAGAAGGCTCCTGGGGAAGTCTTACTTAGCTTGAATTATATATGTCAGGACACCTATGTGCATACATATCACTGTAACTGGAGTTAACCTTCAAAGAACTGCAAACAATTTCTCTTCTTCATGGATGGGAAGAACCGAGTTGTTACCTGAAGAGAAGAGAAATTCATGTTGAATCATGATGGAAAGAACTATGTGTTTCAAAAAAGGTGAAATGTGGATCCTTTTTGAAGTTGATGTGAAGAAAGAAGTTTGTATCAGTGCTAGTCCTGTGTTTCATAACTATGTAAAATATGAGTTGGTGCTGTACAACAAAGCAATCCCCTAAAAACCTGGAAATCAAAATAGAAAGTCCTTTGATAGATGAAACTTGGCATCTTTTTAACATTTTTTATCTATAGCATTGCCTACAGACACTGCACCACAGCAAAATAATACTATTTTTCCTGTGCAAATACCTCACGGCTTTGACTCCAAAGCAAATTAGAAATTCACCTTGGTCACCTAAAGACCACATGGCGCTTCACATGAAACATTCTCCACCCAAAAAAAAAAAAAAAGTTGATATTAGACCTAATTCATGCCTTTTCACACCCAAGCACTTGAATTATTATGCCTTTGCTCTGCTTTGGCTGCAGAACTCCCTCCATGGTGGGGGAATGTGCTGTGCAGCCTGCACCCAGTGTGAGAGCTTGTAGCTGGGATGGCAGCTGCTCTGCAAGGGCCATCCCCAATGCTTCTTGGCTCACTTGGCAGGCTAAGGGCTCCTGGGGAGGCAGGAGACACAGGATGTGCCTAAGCCACCCCTATAGCAGAGGGAGTTTGGGAGCATTCCCTGCCTGCCAGGCTGTGTGTGAGTCAAGGAGCACTTGGAGTGGAGGCAGAGTGAGGGTATCAGGGATGCTGGCTTCTGTGGGACAGGGCTGATGTAGGTGGGAAAAACAGATGGGGGCCTTCATGCAAGAAAATTGCTTCCTCCTTTCTTTGGGGCTCAGGGCCTCGTGATTTCAGAAGGGAAAGTGCTCAGTTATGAGGGGAAATTGGGTCAGCTGGTGTACTTTTGACAGCTCACCTTTGACTGAGATCTTTCCTCCATGTTACTGACAGAGGCTGGTCTTTTGTCATTCAGGAAATTTCCAGGGAATCATGCTGCCAATTGAATTTTTCCCCTGTACACATTGAGTAAGCCACCCCCGAGCTGACGTAACTGCCACCACCTTGCTCAGTAACAAAGTTATGGTGGAAATTGTAAAGGTCAGATGACTGCAGGATGATGAAATGAATGCAAATAGAAATGAGAAAATTTCTGAAGTGGTTGTTTGCTTTTTGTGTCGCCAACCTCAGTCTTTTGTGAACTGTTAATACTGGAAAATTATAGCGCAGTAAATAATGGTGGATATTCCAAAGTTTTCATTTCCATACAGAGTTTATTCCTGAGATTGTTTATCGGCCTGGCTTGAGCGGTCTGTTAAGTGTACACTCTTTAAAATACATCTTAACTTCTTAATTGTGTTACTATTGTGAACTAACCTTGTGTTATTTCTTTTTTCTCATATAGTTTTCCCTACACAAAATGGAAAGGTTGCTATAGTGACTGGAGGCACTAAAGGAATTGGTTACCAAACTGTGAAGCATTTGGCAAGACTTGGCATGCATGTGATAATAGGTAAAGTCATTATTTTCTTAATATACTTTTTGTCTCATAAGTCTTTTTTTTTTCCTTTTAAGGTGTATTTTCTTTCTTTCTTTATCCTACATTCCCCTGACATATCCATAAGTAAGGATATGTCAGGGGAATGTAGGAGAATATATTGCCAGTATTTACCACGAATAAAGATTGATTTATATTTTGCTTTGCAAGATCTTAAAACAAAATAGTGGAAGCGATTTTTTCTGTTGGACTTGGAAGAGCTGTACTACCTTAGATAAGAAGTGAACAATAAAAAAACCTTTAAAAGATGAGCATTACAAAAAGTATTTATTTTATTTAGTTCCTTGTTACTGGGGATGGGTCATGCATCAGCATTGGGGTGTACATGTTCATTAAGAGGAAAACAAATTAAAGAGTTGAAGGAGTATTACAGTGTTTAGTGGGGGATGACCTGTTATAAGGACAGAGGAAGCCCTTATAACTTTATCCATGTAAAAATTGCACATTTACTTCTCACTTTGTCACTGCAAGAGACCTCTGTAGGCAAGACAAGAAAATAAATACCTGGAGATTCAATCGTGTCAGTCTGAGACGGATTGGGCAATTCACCTTCTGGAGGTGCCTGTTCCTCTCCATTGATAATAAAGAGTTGATTTACTCTTTAGAGTCACTCAGGTGACTGAGTTAGAGTGTGACACTTCAAGTTAGGTGAATTTCTCTATGAACTCAAAACTGTCCTGTGTGCACCATTTCTTCTTTCTACCACAGACACTATTTAGGAGACTTCCTATTTTTTAAAACTTCCTTTATTACAAATATGTATTTGTAGTAGAGGAATATGTTTACTGATATGTCTACTAAATCAGAATGTAGTATAATGAATACTTTTATGTTTAAACTGCTACATTTTCTCACTTCCTTACTTTCCTTAACTAGATTTTTACCTAAACTACTGTAACTTTTATTCCAGAGAGTCACTGAAGATTGTTGTTTCATTGTACACTATCAAGCTGGTAATGCCATTTTGTTCAACTTTTGTACAGGATTTGCTCTCTAAGGTTCTGTACACATATCAGACCCGCTCCAAACAATGGATGAGAGCACAGTAGCCATGTACTTTCAGTGTGGTGCAGTCAGTAACATTAATGGAATTGTCCTGGAATCATACAGGTCTAATGTGGAACACCACTTACTCATACATGTTTTAATAGACGTGTCAAACCCAAGCGTCTGCAAAGTGCAAGTAGATGCTTCTTTATGTAGCTAAATGCCAGATGTTACTAATGTAGCTAGATGTAGCTAATGATGTCAGCATTAATATTTCACTAAAATTGCTTTTCATCTTTAAGGTGGACTGCAAAAAATGTACTCTGGGAAGACAAAAAGGGTAATTTTCTTCTCTTTGCGTAGGGTCACAAAAGCATAGAACATTCTTTTTTTTTCAAGATTTATTTTGTATCACTTAAAGTTTAGGATATTCCATGTAACAAAATTCAGTGTGAGGGTTTTGGGAATGGGAAGGTGAGGTTTAGAATCTCTAAATAAGCTGATTTTTTTTCAACTCACAGTCACTCTGTCATAAATCTCATTCACTCACCCTCACACCCATAGTCTCATAAGCGCCAAGATGTGTGAGCTCGTGTGATCTTGTGAGCATCACCTGAGTATGGGAAAAGGTCATGCCAGCTGACAGTCCTGTGGTCCTGTGGTTCTTCTTGATCAGAAGTGACAGGCTATTTTATGGTCAGATCTGCCATAGAAGTTGTGCATTCTCCTTCTCTGGAGGTACTAACAATTCATCTGGATGTGCCCTGTGTTACTTGTTCTGGGTGAAACTGCATTAGCAGGGGGATTGGACAGAGCTCCCTTCCAACCACTACTATTCAGTGATCTTTTATATTGCTCAGCAGCTCTCAGTATGTTTTTCCTGGTCTGCAATATTTAGGCTCTGTCTATAACCTATTTTTAGGCTGGGCAAACAGGAAAAATAATGGTATGGGTATTATGCTGTAACCTGGAGATGTTATCCTCCTGATGGCAGAGTGCATGGTCGTCTGCTGCCAGTCTTCTGTGCTTGTGTCTTCTGTGACCTTGACATGCACAGCACAGGAACAGTGTCCTCTAAACATGTCGTTTGATTGTCAATAAAGGGCATCCTTTTAACACTTTGCTCTTTCTTTTGGTGCCTACAAACACAGACACTTCCATTGACTCCACAATTGTATCAATCTTACTATTTTCATTATGAATCCCTATAAATGTGAATTAATGAAATTAATTATAGGAAGCATTTGATGAGTAAGTCCTCCAGCTGATTCATTTCTTCCGAGCAAACTCTGACCTGAACACTGAGCCCTATGAGTCACAGCCATCTTCTTTGCCTGTGAAACTCTTCAGACCAAAGCAGCCCTGTCAGAAGAATGGATAGACCCAGGCACTTTTCCAGCTGCAAGATCATAACAGTCTCAAAAGCACATTAAATGCAATGACCTTCCATCCTTGCTCATAACTGTTGGACCCAAACGTCCAACGTGTGTTTGAAATATCTGCTGGCACATTGGCATGCATTAGCACATTCTGCTTCAGGCCACGCAAGGCTCAAATAAGAGAGAAGTGTGCTCAAGCTTTCTCCTCTAGAATTGTTTTCATCCTATGTTTGTATATAGACATGAACTTCTGTGAAAAAGGTGTGGATGGTGTGGATGTTAAGTGAATTTGGGCTTGCAAAAGAGACTTACATGTAGCTTGCATTCAATCATGCTCAATCACTGAATGCTTGTTTCTCATTATAGGAACTGTAGCAATAAAGGATGATATCCCTGCAGCAGGCAAATGAGTCAAGCCTGAATGTCTGATGTGAAAAATGATTCACCATTTGTGATGGATGTGATTTTGATTCTGTTTGACATTTTAGAGGAGTAAATATTTGAAACAACCTACTTTTAAATCAAATCCACCAATGGAATGAGGAAAGCAAATAAGTAGGAAGCATGTTACCTTGTGGAGCGTGAGTAGGCACTGTATGAAAAGGCTGTTTCTTCACTCAGAGCCTTTACAGCAAGTGGTTTCATCGTTCTTTTAAACCTCCTTCCTTTCCAGTCCCAGCACTGTTGCGCAAGACTCCATCCCCCACTGATGGTTTCCCTCTGCTCACCCTGCCCTCAGCCTCTCCCTGAGAAAGAGGTTTTGATGAATGCTGAAATGATGAAAGTAATTTTCTGTATATTTATATGTTTGTTTGATAGATTTCATTGAGGCTTTCTGCCAGGCTGCTTTTCTCAGTAGCTTCACTCGCAGTCAGCAGGGCTTTTACTTCAGGAAAATCTCATGGCAAACACCAAACCCCTGCTAGGGAAAACTGATAGCTGTGATGAATCTTCACAATCCAGCATACAGGGAGCTCCTGCTCTCTCCTATGCAATTTACTTGTTAATAAATAAACTTGCAATTTCATTTTCAGAGAGAGAAAGTAAATGGCACACTGTATTCAGTAGTGACTGATATTGAAGGTAATGTTTTGTATGCACTTACAAATAAATACGCTCTTCACAATGAGGACATTGGAAATCAGCATACCCTGGAAATTTCTATGACCTCCCCCAGCCCAGGACACAAAACCCAGTATGTTCAGCTCTGGTTCAAGGTGTTTGCCACAGTTTTGTGAGTCTCAATTTAGAGTGATAAAAAAGCATAAACTATTCATATTCCTTCCATCCCTGTTCACAGCTGTTTAATTTTATGAGGATTCTGTGTGTGCATGTTAAAATTGTTGAGTCAAAAAAGGAAAGCCTCAATTTGAATTTTTTCTTTTTTTTTTTTGCCCTCAGTACATTAATAAAAGAAGGCTGAGATAATGTGTGATAATATCTAATGTAGAAGTTTTGATAATTCTATCTGAAAACAGTGAATGAAAATCAAAATATTTGCATCTTTACAATGTTACACTTTTGCTTGGTATAAAACGCCAGGTTCAGGGCAGTGTAATCAATCTTTAATATTTGAGTATATCAGTGTCACAGGTTTCTAAGACAGGCTCACACTTTGAAGGAAGCAATCTCATTATATTTATATATATGTATATATATTCTGATGACTTATTGGAGCTATGCAATTTTGGCTTGAGCCCTGCAATTTTGGCATAAATAAATGTACTTCCATCGCCAGATTCAGCACTTCTGTGTGACCTCAGTAAGCTCTGCAGGACACTAAGCAAGAGATATTTCTGTCACCTCTTTCATTCCCATTAGTTTCCAATTTTCAAGCTGGATTCTCTGCACCATGAATCAGACAATTCTTTTATTGTATAATACTACAAAGTGACTTTCGAGGGATAATTAAATCCTATCAAGATGGTGCAATAGTTCATTTTCAAAGACAGTTTGATTTAATTTCAATTACTGAAAAATTTTATGGGTTACTTTAATAGTCTTTTTTTAATATACAAGGATCTATGAGATGCTTGGGTTATATATATATATTTTTTTTAAAGTATTTATCTTCCTAATTTCAGCCAGGTTTTTTAGGCCTGAATGAGTTCTAGAGTTAGTCAGGAAGTGTCAAAATTTTACCAACCTATTAAAAGTGGGTGATAATTTCATTTTTCTGCATGAGCATAACGAAAATGCACACAGATTCCTTTATAATTGTAATTCAGTTCAGGTTTTATCATATCAGTGCACAGTAATCAGGGTTATGAAATTCTCTGTTTACTGTTAATTATGCACCATACATGTGCACACAGCCACACACAGTCTTCCAAATATGTTTGAATCTTGTCAAACACTTTAGTCCCTAACTTCTGTTGGAAGACTGTCACGTCTGTGCTTGTTTTAACATATGGTGCTTTCAACAAATAATTTTATAGGAAGAACACATTATGAAGTGACAAGTTCTTCAAATTGTATCAAAATTTTCAGGGTGATAAAGACCAGGGATGTGTGAAGAATTGCAAGAAGACCATAAGAAGCTGAGTGTTAAAAGGCACATACAACTCAATGTAGATCAATATGGAGTGA